AAAGTTCAGTCTTAGAAGCTGCTTTAGCACTTTCTGCTACTCACCATACAAGTAGTCTAATTACAAATTTAGACTCGTCAGTCTGTAAGAACGTTGTCACATCTCAGATGGCCTGTTTCAGTGTTCTAGTGCAGATGTTCTTTTCTTATCTATTTCCTTTCATCAATAAGTGGTTCTTGTGTAATATCCTGTTTAAACGTGTTTACTGCTTTTATCTGATGCTGAAAAATGAAGAAGTTGCACTTACTGGCTGTTTTGACTGTAAGCAGAAGTGTGATCTCTGACTTTTTACCATACTGAAATGAGCAGTACAGGCACAGATTACTGACTGGGACATTAGATGAAGGATTAGCCATTAGAAATGTAAACATGACTGAATAAATGAAATATACGAAGAAATGTTGCCTCTTTTCAGGCCCCTCAGCTTTTATATCCTCACTGACTCAAGTGATTTTGTTGTTTTAGGTTAAATGTGTCAGGCTCCAGTCCTCGCGGGCCAAAACACTGCAGACTTCAGCTCACTGCCTCATTAAACACATCTGATTCAGCTCATCAGCTAATTAGCAAGGCCTTCATGGACTGAATTCAGAGCGTTAGATGAGGATACACACAAATCTTCACAGCACTTTGGCCTGGAAGGTCCCCAGTTTGACATGTTTTGAGATGGTGTGTGAATGCAGTGTTAGTGTTTAACTTTTGATGTCTGAAACTATGAGTGCGTTTACATGCACTCAATAATCCGATCAGCATACTCCGAATCTGATTAAGAAATCAGATAAAGAGGCTGGATTTTAGCTCAGTAATCAGATTTCTCAGTGTATATAAACTCCTACTCTGATTTCTTTCAGATTCTCAGTCTGTGCATGTGCAGTGTTGCAGTGAGACAGCAACAAAACACTTTTGGAGTGGCACTGAAACCAATTACATGCTTGACGAAATGAAGGATTTTAATAATCATCTTCTAGATGATGTATGTTCAAATTTTCAGGTAAAGTGACTCGATGTCGATGTGGCATGAGTTTTATATTACGTTAACACCACGTCTTATTCTGCGATTTTATTGGCTGGTTGCAAAGCAGGAATATGATTATTGCCTGACTCATGTAAATCCAGAGTTTCCCCATTATCTGATTACTCAAGTGCGTGTAAATGCATTGATAGGATTACTGACAAAGCCTAATTTTCTTCAGTGATCGGATTATTAAATTCATGTAAACACACTATATGATATAAATTTGTCTTTACACTCACAAATCTTACATAAAAAGCACACACTGTTACCATGTAGGCAACAGAATACTACACATTAACGGGGATAAGTTTGTCTATTTCCAAAACAAAAAGGAACAAATTTTTGTTTTTTTGTTTCTCAGAATGCTTATAAGAATGAACATGAACTACTGTTTAGTTCACTTTTTCAGTTTGTTTGTTAATTTGTAATTATGCTTGTGCAGCTTTGCAAGACAAAGTACAGTGTGAGTACAGATGTGCTCCAGTAGCACTGGGGAGAGAAAAACATATAACTGCACTGAATGTAGTCAGACAAATTCAGTCTTTAATCCAGAGGTAGTTACAACTATTATTAGTAGTATTATGAGTATTATAAGTCAGACCAAAACCTTGTATCTCCAAAATGGTAACTTTACAGGAAAAACATTTTTTTTAATGTAATTTTTGTATTTTTAATGTAAGTCATTTTGGGCCGTTTCCTTTGGTCCATTCATCATGAAATTTACACACAATGTAAACAGCAACAGGCGTTTTCAAATTATGTCAAAAGCTCAAAAACAAGAAAAATGGAAATACAAGGTTTTGGTCTGACAGCAGCGATATGTACCCAACAGTCCCAACTATAAAGAACAATGGTAACTGACTGAATAACTACCACTGGAGTGTCCTACGTCCACACAGAGGAGTAATCATTAGTATGGTTTAATATCTGATCTAGCAAACTATTGAAATATTAAAGTATAACTCCCCTCATAAACTAATGTGTGGCCTCTTCCTCAGCTTTGAGTGCACTGACCAGTTTCTCTCCTCTGAGGAATTTTCTCTTCAATAACACTGAAGACCTCACATCCTGAGGTCAGACAGCTTCCCCTCGGACACATGCACTCCTACAGAGGAAAAATAAACGAAGAATTAACCCTTTAAAAACCCAGGCTTATTACAGACTAAGGCTTCTTATACAGTAACTACAGGGACATCAGTGCAAACTGGCTGAGCTATTCTTGGTTATAGCAGTGTGTAGTAAAACTCTGGACCCGCTGGTGGGCCCTGACCATTTAAGGATTTAAAGTACACATCTGACAAGCTTGAGGCAAAACAGAACCTCCGAGCTGTTTGGCTTCTGTTTTCAGTCACTTTATTTTACCAGACACATGTTCTTTGTTCAACCAAGCCCAAATTAGAAATCAAGATTGATTATGATCTATATTTATACCTATATGAAGATATGCTATGTAAAAACATGAATAACATTATGTATATTATATGATAACGCACAATTAGCTGTCTACTCAGAAACTGTTGTGCAAATATTGAGCATTTTAATCCTAATCTCAGTCTATAATTAACAGTATTTGATTTCTATAAGCTCTAGAAAGTGTCATGTTTATTGCTTTATTGCTTGTTTATTGTTTATTTGAACTGAATAAACCTGAATGTCTACAGCCATTTGTCTGTTTATTATTTAATATTTCTTTGCGATGAGCAAAAGTAACACTTTCTATTAAGTGTGCATTCATAAGCCATTATAGATGAGTTTATAACTCCTTGTAACTTAACAGTGCTCTGTAAGCATGTTTATAGACTTTAATACTGCTTCATAGGGCGTTAATAATGTATGTTAGGTCTCTAATTAATGCTTTGATTGCTTATAAGCATTTAGTAATGTAATAACTTATTATAATGCCTTTTAAATGGATAATTAACTGTGCATAATTATAACCTATAATATGTAGGTTAAACAATAATAAAAACATGAATGCAAACTTAATTAACAATTATGTAAACAGTTAAGATGCTATCACTGAGTGCTTCATGTAAAGATGTTACTTTTTGTTATGAATACATGAGTAAAATTTTTTTCTGTAACGTTTTATAAGTAAAATCACAACACATTTAATGTTTTTGGATTGGTTAACCAAAAAGTCATGTTTTTGGTCTTTTTGTGCTCTTCACATGGGTTCCATCACTTTCCCCAACACTTAGCTTGGGGGGAGGTGTAAATATTTAGTAGATGCTAAGCTCAGTGTTAATATTAGTTTATGTGCCACTCGTTTTTATTTAGTGATGCGTAAACCTGAACCTAGTAAACACATGACAACTAGCCTATGTTTGATCTTACACACAGCTTGGGCAATCAGCCAAACATTAGCCAATAGTGAGCCCTGAGTGCCACAGTACGATAGAAAGAAACAAATTAGCAGAACTTAAACTGCTCAGATAAACATGACTCTGCGTTACGAAGAACACTCAGATGGTTTTGGTGATTTAGGCTTAAAATGAAAGACTAATGCTCACTTTAAAGATGACAGGAATGAGCTTTTACATTTTTATTGAGTAAGGCTGGGTTAATTGGGGGTAATTAAACTAATTAGGCTGGTTTGAGATAACCTAACCTAACCTAACCTAATCTAATTTGAGAATAAACTGAATGAAAAAGTAAGAGCACTTCCAGCTCAGCTGAAACTATTTTTTTTTACTATTTGGACAGTTTGAGTTAACCTTAGAGCTGAGAGAGAAATCGAGTTCTAAAAACAGATGTGATGTTTTGGAAAATGTTTCTGCTCTGAGAACTGGAGTCAACCTCGCTGAGAAAACGCCAGCTGCTAAACTACCATTTTAAATGATATCTTTAATTAATAACTTACCCATCATTAATAATAAGGCTGACTGTAAGTCAAACTCTTTGGTGGCTTCCAGCTTCCATTCATTGTCAGCAGCATTTAGCATGTAGAGAATCTCAGAGGATCACAGGATGTTTTCTACAACACTACATTGTAATACAACCTCATTTCCACAAATGTTGGGACACTGTGCAAAATGTAAATAAAAACAAAATGCAATGATATGCAAATCATGAAAACCATACTTTTAAGGGAAAATACTACAAAGACAACATATCAAATGTTGAAACTGAGAAATTTTATTGGTTTTTGAAAAATATTACCCTTTTGGAATTATATTTTTATTTACGTTCTGCACAGCGTCTCAACTTTTTTTGGAAATGGGGTTGTAATTATTTGAATGATGATGATGATGATGAACATGAATTTTAAGTATTTACTATGAATGATTATGTACTATGAATGATTCAGTACGTTTTATAAATTCTTCAGTATCCACAATGAATTATTCAGTATCTAATTTGAAATATTCAGTATATACTATAAATTTTTCAGTATTCTCTATGAATGATTCAGTATCTAATATGAATGATTCAGTAATTATTATAAATTATTTAGTATACATTATGAATTATTCTGTAACTGTTTTAAATGATTCAATATCTACTATGCATTATTCAGTATATTCTGTAAATTATTCAGTATCCACCATTAATTATTCAGTATATTCTATAACTTTTCAGTATCCACTATGAATTATTCAGAAACTACAGTGAATTATTCAGTATATTCTATAAATTATTCAGTATCCACCATTAATTATTCAGTACATTTATAAATTATTCAGTATCTGCTATGAAATAAACGTGTGTTCTGTAGTTCTGAAAGTGATGGACTGAACTGGAACTCACATGAAGAGTTTACTACTAACCTGGATTCTGGAAATATATACTAAACATACTGTGTATTACTTCATTGGTGTTTATTGATATAACCAGTAATTACTGCTAATAGAGGCCAAGATGAGGATCAAATAAACCCCGCTGACCAATGTTTCCTTCTGTCTGACCAGAAAAAAGGTGACTGCCCACTTAACTTTCATCTCCGCTGAAGGGTCCGTGAATGACATCACCAGACTGGAATGTACTTCCTTCAGTGCGAGTTTCCCACCACATTCAGCGACGGCAGGGACAAGATCGGACAACACTCGACCACGTCCAGATTCAGACTCTCTTTCTAGTCTTGTGCTGTTTCTTCCTGTGGAGAAACACTGTGAAGTGCAGAATTACCTTCAGCGAGCAGCAGCCATGGACGTCCGAGTCATCCTGCTGTTGATTACAGCTGTTCAGGCCATCGCTGCTTCTTCTAATGGTATGTATACCCAAACATGCCTTAATGCTGACGGCCTTAAAATGGTTAGTAAAGAAGGTATTAATGTTCTATAACAGTAATGATTAAATTACAAGGTCAGTATAGAAACTCCTGTGTTTAGTAGTTATGTTTCCATCAAAGTTCAGATCTGTTGTCTTTTACATAGATTCACATATACTGTATTGAGGATCTAATAAGTTATTATAATAACTCTTTTTTAAAAGCATGTTTTCAGATCTGTTTGGGGGGTTTTGAATTGCTGGCAGTATGACGCAGTATGTTTTGCGGTCCTACTTTCCATGGTGGAAACCAATCCTCCAATTAGGACAATCAAATTATATTCCTAAAGAATCAGACAGTTTAAAGGAAAACTCCAGCATGTTTCAATCTAATCTCTGTCTGATGTAGAAAACCCACTCAAAACATACTACAATGTAGTATGTAGAACAGATTCTTTTAGAGATAGCACTAGTTTCCCAAAGGGAACAATCTGTAAAACATTTTACCAGCATTGTGGTTTGGGTGGAGTTTTTACTGGCTCCATAAGATCACCAGGGGTGCAAGAAAGCCTTAAAGAAAGTGAAAGCATTCAGAGAAGGCTCAATGATTTCGGCAAAATAATAAAAAAGCATGTCTGTATGTTTTACTTATTTCATTGTTAAGTTTTGGTTGGAAACAAACGAGTTAAAACCTTGAAATACCCAAAAGAAAATGACCCAATCAGGACTGTTTTCTCTGGGGTATCTAGGTAGATATGGCCAAGCAAGCTCTCCCTTGGTTAGGACTTCAGGACTAGATTACTCAGATCACTTACTAGAAATTCAAGCAATTTCTGGTCAAATCAGCCATGAAGTACTAAGTTCTTCACTTTTCTGGAGATATTTCTGAGGAGATAGAAGATAATCCACTCGCACAAGGAAGGAGAAAGTCAAAGGAAAATAACTGGAGACTGGTTTTCAAAAAATGATAAAAAGCTACAGATCCATCCTTCCACTGTGAGGAGACGACTCTATGGGTCTGAAAGGATGTGTAGCTGTCAAGAAGCCCACAGAGAACACACTCAAATTTGGCATTTTCTGCACATTTTCATGCACAATTACTATATGTTTACTGAGTTTAAGACATTGGAGAAAGAACATACATACATACATACATACATACATACATCTTCTAAACCGCTTATCCTTCTGGGTCGCAGTGGGGTGCTGGAGCCTATCCCAGCTGTCATTGGGCGGAAGGCAGGATACACCCTGGACAGGTCGCCAGTCCATCACAGGGCAGACAGACAGACATACACAGTCACGCACTCACACCTAGGGGCAATTTAGCATGTCCAATTGGCCTGACCGCATGTTTTTGGACTGTGGGAGGAAACCGGAGTACCCGGAGGAAACCCACGCAGACACGGGGAGAACAGGCAAACTCCACACAGAAATGACCCTGGTCGCCCGGCCGGGAATCGAACCCAGGCCATTCTTGCTGTGAGGCGACAGCGCTACCCACTGCGCCACCGTGCCGCCAGAAAGAAAATAAAACACTAAATATAAAATGTGCCATAACTTTTGCACAGGCCACAGTTTATAGTGCCTAATACGTTGAATTCGGTAAATAAACAGAAATTGTGCATGAAAATGTACAGAAGTGTTCATTGTAGAAGATGTATTAACTTATTTACTTAGAAAATCAACACAACATGGGTGCACAGACTTTTGCACATAACTGTGTGATGCAAAAAATCTAATTGTTAGGTAGACTTTAACCTACAGGACCGGCCCTGGAAATCGCTGATCTAATGCAAAATAAATGCTGACAACATGCATAGATTGACACACACTGCAAAAAAAATTGGTTTCTTGGTAACTGAAGTCCATACATCTAATATTTCTCATTCCGAGACAATTTTAAGCTGTTATAAGATTATTTAACTCATTACTGGACAATTTTTACTAGTTTCAAGTGAACTTAGTAAGTCAAATTATCTCACTGTAAGTAAAACACATCTAGAAATAAGTTATGTAATCTTACAATGAGCTTACAACAATCTCAAAATGATAAATATCAGAGAAATTGGCTAAATTTGAGAAATTTTCAAGTGCTAAGATACCATTTTTTAAAGTGCATTCACTGATGCTGTTTTACTGTTTGCTGTAGGAAGCGACCCACGCAGTTTTGTATTGTCCAGACACACGGAGACCTACACCTATGAACCCATCGACTACCCATTCCCTGACCTGGAAACCCGGGCAAGCCAACCCAAACACTCAGGAAACAACAGCCGCAGGATTCGACTGGGTTCCTTGTGCAACAGCTCTGCCCAGAACTGCAACAGAACCGCATCCAGAGTGATCATCTCTGTCTCCGAGCAGACCAAATCCTTCCTCACAGGGCCGCTGGTCACAGGCTTCATCCCCACCGTCTACACCCTTGTTTTCCTGATCAGTGTGCCGCTGAACGCCCTGGCGTTTGTGGTGTTCTCCTTCCGGATTCACCGGAAGAAGCCGGTGGTGGTGTACATGTCTCAGTTGGCGCTGGCTGACCTGTTGTTCGGCCTGCTGCTGCCGCTGAAGGTGCATTACTATGCCCGTGGTTCTCACTGGGTGTTCGGAGAGGCGGCGTGCCGTGCAGTTACAATGGCATTCTATGGCTACATGAACTGTTCCACGTTGCTGGTGATGTGCATAAGTGTGGACCGCATGCTTGCTGTGGTGTTCCCTGTTGCAACCATGCATTGGCGTAAACCACAGAACGCAGTGCTGGTGTGCGTGGGGGTGTGGCTCCTGGCACTAGTGGCAGCGGTGCCTTTGCTAACCATAGAGCAGACTGTGCCAATCACAGGGGTGAGTGAGCGCATGCAAATGATATGTTATGGTTACCGTAATATAAACCTTGATTCCAAAAAAGCTACTGGTACATCTACTTTGACCTTTATTAAAAAAGCAGTACAAAAACAAAGATATTTAATGTTTTATCCTATCAACCTCACTGTTTTTTGTAAATATTTGTTTGTACTGAAATTGATGCCTGCAACATGATCCAGTGGTGTTAGACTTAAGGATATCTGGTCTATTTAGTATGTTATGTGTCATGTTTGCCCTCACCAAAGACAAATCATACTTGGCGAAATAAAATGATTCTGATTCTGATGCAAAGTTGAGATAAGAGTAATTTAAGCCTAGAAATGTTGTTAGTTTTGGAACACATTTTGGAGCAATATCTGCTGCCTTTTAGATGACATCTTTTTCAGGGATGTCCATGTTTATTTCAATATGACAGCTCAAAGAAACATTCTGCACATGTTACAACAGCATGGCAGCATAATCAGAGAGTGCAGGCTCTAGGCACAGCTAAAGACTTGTATAACTGAAGGGTGGCAAAAAAAAAAATCCGCTTTAAAAACTAGATCAGTTTTTTTTGTCTTCAGTCCACAGACGATTATTAAGTGTTGTTAAAAGGAAATGTGATGTAACACAGGGTACACATGCTCCTGTCCTAACTTTTTTGGAGCACATTTCAGGCATCAAATTTGGAATGAGCATATATTTACAAAAAAACAAAAAACAAAAAAACAATATTCATAAAAATGTTCAACAATGTTCATAAAGTAAAACATTAATTATTGTGTTTTTGTGCTGTTTTCAATTTGAAGTTCGATTCAAAATGAAATTTTGGTCCAAGCCTGAAAACAACCTGAGAAATTTGTGCTTGAGTTCGAACCCAACCCAAGCCTAACAAAGTCCAAAATCAAAGTGGCCCATCGTTACACAAAGCGCCAAACAAAACCTGATATTTCTAATGATTAAATTACCATGTAGCAACAATAGCTGTCATGATTGCAGATGAAGAAAATTAAAAATAATGTACAATAATGATGTAATAAACTAACCTGCTGTCCAAAATTAGTGTCACATTCAACTTTAATAAATGTATTCATTAAGCAATGCTTTAAAACATCCCAAATAATAAATTCTCCATACTGTGCTGTTCTCACATGGTGCTTTACATTTAGTACTAAAATTCTATTCCTGCATATAGAATTTATTACATACAACACATTGAAAATATTGTAGTGTGTGCAAAAATGCTTTTTCATGTTAGTTCAGTTTATTGGTTCTGCAGCGTTATTCAAGATGTTATTTTGCCAAGGACTCTTATTGTGAAGGTGGGGCTAGTCTGCTGGGGCGAAATGTGCATACAGGAGGAATCACTCAATCTAGTGCTAAAAGCTTAAAGAGTAAGACCTGAGCTTAGGCTAGAGCGAACTGTTAGAGCAAGCTGAGCTTATGTACGGCACAGCTGTTGCCAAAAACAGCTCCTTAATAAAGCACAATGACTTGTGCAAAAGCTCTGTCTTCTTTCATAGCAATGAACGCTAAAATATATGTAAATATGTTTGAGAGAACAGATTAAAAATAAACATCATTTTATTATTGCTACTTTACTCTCCTAAACTCGTGTCAACAAGTTGGTGACTCCAGCATGCCATCTTAAAAACTGTTCTACGGTAGTGAAAGTAGTGAAGAGTGTGAAATTTGAACCTACATCTTATTTTCATTAGTTTTTTATTCATACTGACATTTTAAATTGATACATGAAACATCATTGGCCTATTTAAGTAACATGAATCAAATACAGGGTTCCCTCAGAAGTAGCTGTTGAACTCAATGAGTTGTATACAATTACACCGTGATATTTGCTTCAGGTATAGAAGCAGCATTCAAATACATGGTGCTGTTACCTACCTCCCCTTAAATACATTATTAAATACCAACACAGATCTGCCCAATTCAAAACACTAGACTGGATGATTGCACGTTTAAAGCAAAAATGTGCTGATTCCTTTGGCACTATTGCTTTGCTGCTACATGTTCATATTTGAATGCATATCATGCATCTAAAAAATGTCTTCAAGTATTGTGATGTTATATTTTTGCCGTGTTTACAGATTGGTACCACCTGCCACGATGTGCTGGACCCAGCAGACCCTCGCTACGTGCAACTCTTCACCTCCATCAGCTGCATACTTTACCTCCTACCTCTGGTTATTACAATGTCCTGCTATGCCACCATCATTCGTTTTGTCAAGACCAAGAAGTCGCTAGAAGGAGCTCTGGCCTCATCATCGCTATCAAGGAAAAGGAGGAGGAGAGCCGCTGTCATGGTGGTCTCCGTGGCGACGGAGTTTATGGTGTGTTTTGGGCCGACTAATGTGATCCTGCTGCTGCACTGCATACTGCTCTGGATGGGCCAGGATACAGCGCACTCAGATGAAGTGTACGCTGCGTACATCCTGGCGGTTTGCATGGGCAGTGTCAGCACATGCCTGGACCCGCTGCTTTACTACTTTGGCTCCTTGCAGTGCCGACGGCAGATCCGCTGTGCCATGTGTTGGAGGAAGGGAAAGCAGACAGATGAAGCTTCTCAGCCTCAATCCAGCTCGACATGGGGAAGCTGCAAATACAGCACACCATGCAGAGTGCAAACAGAAACCATCAGCTAGTGGAAACAAAAGAGGTGGTGTTGAGGAGTCTTGAGGTTTGAGTTCAGGATTGTGGTAATCAGTATTAGAAAAATTGGTGAAACTACTGTAGGTCAGTGTTCATAAGGCTACATGACGGTTGCGTAAGACCATTTTGAAAATTTCCACTTTGTCACTTACTAAAACGATCATACTCAAGTTTTACTATAGTTTCAGTAGTTACTGTTTTGGTAGTGACCATTTTAGCTCATTTGAAGTTTGTAAAAGACATTTCATATGTTTTATCTGAAGCTTGTAGCAGACATTATCATATATCTGAGCTTGTATGTATCACTTGTATGTGTCAAAGGGACTCATTCAGTAAAGAGTGTCATAGAGCTGCTGCCGCTGTTTTACATTCCTAACAACTACCTGGAACCTGCTTAGGCTATGGCTCATATTCACAGTCAGTAATGTGTCTAGAACCTCAAGAAGGGTGATGTTTTTTTCTTACAAAATCGGTCCTCCCACTGTAAATCAAGCCTGATTGTTTTCCTCTGTCATTCCCCATTTATATTGGTAGTTAATTTAACATGTAATGCTGTGTTTATATGTGAGCTGTAAGCAGTTGACAGCAAAATGAGTCCATTGTTTTCAATAGAGCAGAGACCACAGTTGCTAACGGAACATTCCATCAAGAGTTCAATTTACCCAACTTTTGCCATTGACTGCAAAGGTGAAATAAACTGGATATTGTGGTTTTTAGACTAGAAATCCCGTATTACAATACAAAACATTAAAGATGCCTTAAGAAACATGTAAATGCCCTTTACAAGCTCCCAAATCCTAACCAATGGGAAAGCTTGCCTGGCTATATCTACCTAGATACCTCAGAGAAAACAATCCTGATTGGATAATTTTCTGTTGGGCATTTCATAAATATATTCATTTTTTGTAACCAAAACTTAACAATGAAATATGAGTATTAGTACAATACTTGCAGAGTTTAAATACAGCTATTAAATAAAAATGAACTAAAAATTACAGATGTATTTTTTTTGTTATCCACAGAAATCATTAGTCTTCCTCTGAATGTTTAGACTGTTCAGAAAATTTCAGCCTAAGGATAAAAACAAACTGATTTATTTGAGGACACCAATCTTAATGTGGTAAATTAATAAAACACTTTCATTTTCAACATTATGGGTAACTTTGTCAGTTTTGCTACAGTCATGAACCATCAGTACTGCAATGCTGTTCTTCTGCCGCTCACAGCAGCATCAGGTTCAACAGGGCTTAAAATAACTAAACTTTCATTACATTAAAACCTTCAGTCTGAAGCAAAGAACTGAGAACTTTTTAAACAAAAGAGACAAAACAGTCACCCTCTAGCATGTAGGTTGGATAGCAAGTACGCTAACTAGCACAATGGCTAATTTAATACCTGACTAAAGTTTCACTAAGTTACAGATCACATAGCTGGATTAGTTCTAATGACAGCTTGCAGGAGTTAGCAAGTACGCCAACTAGCAACTTAGGTTTCAGTTTCAGTTTCAAGTTACAGATAACATAGCTGGACTAGCTATAATGCTAATTTTCTAGCATGCTTGCTGTTGAACCTGACATGTTTTCAGTAGAAGCTCTGTTTGTTCCTGATGGTTTTGTAATGTGTTTTGGCTTTTTTAATGGGTCTATGTCACAATGTAAAAGATTCTAATGGTTTAACAGGTGACCAATAGCTAATTTTAAATGCATTTGATGGTTTTCTAATGGGATCCAACACTGTTCTACAGGAAACTAGCGGTCTTTATTGGAAACCATTAAGCCAATTCTTATTAGAAAGCAAACCATTAGGCTGTAATCCTAATGGTTTCTAATGGTCCTTTTTCAGCAGGGAGTTTACTTCTGTACAGTGCAATGCCACTAAAGCAAAAAATTCAAACAAACAAACAAAAGTATGTCTCCATTTTTATTAATTGTTCAGTGTCCTTTATCATTTGAATATGTCTTTATATTAATGGCTATTAATCATGTCATAAAGACATTAAAATTGTTAATAAGCAGTTACGACACATAAATTAAAAGGTAACAATGATCTGTTGTTTGCCTAATACTGAATCTTCATTCATTTATTTATACTTTTAAAATCTTTGGACAGTAATGATATATAAACTATGTGTACTGGGGAGTGAACGGGAGGGTATAAAACTATATATAATGTTTATATACTGTTTATATTACAATAAACTCTTATATTTCATAATAAGTGGGTATCATTTAGTTTTTAATTATATGACCCCTGAACCTGGCTCAGAGCTACTAGGATCAAGAACAGCACATGAGCATGGAACGTACCTAGAACTGGACTGAAAGCTTCTGCTCTATGTACTGTACTCAGTGTCCATACAGTATTATTATACAGTATTATTATATGAGATAAACAGAATGGAATGTGTGCTGAAGACTGTATTCTTCACAATAAGAGTTTGTATTGCATGAGATGTTGTATGTCATTCAGTACTGAATATATTTACATAGCCATGTGTATAAAGTTATGAATTTTTATAGTATTTACTTATCTGTCTCATTTATATTTAGAATGAATTATTTTATGATTAATATTCTGAGTAAAATATGTGTTTATGTTTATATGCATTAAATGATAGCATTTACATTTTTTGCTCTTTTGACTGAACGGTCATCAATTGCCACAGACACCAAAATATTGTGGAAAGCTTTCCCAGAAAACTAGAGGCTATTAAAGCCACAAAGAGTGAGCAACTCCACATTATATACTAAAAACTTTTAAACTAGCAGCAATTAGACCTCTGATTAAGAAACCTTATCTTGATCCCTGTGAGTTATCCAGTTATAAACCATCTCAAATCCTGTATCAAAGATTTCGGAAAAAAGTTCCTGCTTGCATAGAAATTACATCCAGGATAAAATTCAGTCTAGATTTAGGCCTTATCATAGTACAGAGACAGCACTAGTGGAAATTGCAAATGATCTTATTATTCTCTGACCAAAGAAATGTATCTTTGCTGGTTGTGCTTGATCTTAGGGTGGCATTTGGCATGATAGACCACTCTGTCCTACTGGAGAGACAAGAAAACTTTGTAGAAATAACAGGAACAGCTCTTTCCTGGGTCAGATCTTAACTGACTGATTGCTATCAGTTTGTGAATGTAAACAGCAAATCAAAGTAAACTCTGGTGTTCCACAAGGCTCTGTTTTAGGACCTCTATTATTCACATTATATATGCTACTGTGCCACTGGCTACTGTTATCAATAAACATGGTATACATTTCTGTGGATGTTGAGAAACTCCTTCTCAACACAAACAAAACAGAGGTTCTTCTTCTTGTTCCAAAAGCTGATAGAAAGAAAATGTCTAATTTTATGTTAAACCCCTTACCAAGCCATGGGCCCGCCAGCAAGCCCAAAGTTTTATTGTACACTTCTAGAACTTAGGAAAAGCTCCATTGGGTTGCATTGAAGTCCCTGTAGTTAATAAAAAATAAACTTTAGTATGTAGTAAGCCTGGAATGTTAAGGGGTTAAACTTAATAGCCTCTCAGTTATATCAACGATAGATCCTGATCTGTCCTTCAGTGCACCAATATTACTAGAAGATTTCCTCCATCTGCTAGTTCATGCATTTGTTACATCAAGACTGGATTACTGTAATGCCCTGCTGTCTGGATGTTCCAGCATAAGCCTTAACAAGAACCTTTCCAGAACTAGAAAATTTGTCTTTATTTCTTATTATCAACCAAATGCCTACTTGGATCCCAACTTACACAGCTTACTATAAATCCTAAGAATTAATAAAATTACGTGGGGGTTGAGTGGTTTCATATTAAAACCCCCCAGCTTTGGAATAACTTTCCGGTCAGTGTTCGGGACTCAGACACAGCCTCAGTCTTTAAGTTTAGGCCAACAAACTTTTTTAGTTGAGCATTTGGTGAGTAGTACAGATCTAGGGGTTCATTAACATAGAGGCCCAATCCCATTTCTTCTTTTTACCCCTACCCCTTGTTTTCAAGTGTCACTCTAACCCCAGAATGGAGTTACAAAGGGTAATGGTTGAAATCTTGCCCTATGAAATGAAAATATACATAAAAAATATACATAAAAATAAAATAAACATAAAAGAAAATATACATAAAAATAAACATTGCTTCATTAACAGCTGCTAGCGCTGCTCTGTAGGCGACCTTGCCCGACTTTAGTGATAGGAGAGAAGGGTAAAGTTCAGCAACCTCGCTGCTGGGCTTTAGTTACATTTAGGGCATCATATGCCTTCAAAGAGGGGGGCAATTATTTATTATCACCCACCACTAATTCTTCAGTGATATGAAGCTGAAATCAGATATTCACCAGACTCTTGTTTGAATTTTCCCGTTCCACCGTAAATGGTGCAGCAGTTACATTCTGGCGCTTCAGGCGTCAGAACTGCTGGACTATTTAAGGTGGAATGGGAAAATTAAGTAGCTAGCTACCGAGACATTAGCATACTTTTAAGCAATCTTTTATGCTTGTTATGAAGAAGACGACCATAATATATTGAAACGACATTAAACTAAGATTAATTACAATCATTTTTTATCACATAAAATTCTCGAATTTGTGGGTTTCTTTGGTCGCTTGTGCAGCCATCTTGCTAGTTTTTCCTTGTTCTCATAACACTCTGTTTGAAGTGTCTCTGAAAATCCTCCGTTTGGAGGGTCATGCAGCCCTAACACTTCACCCTACCCCTGTATCTCAACAAGAATCGGGACACCCTACACCTAGACGTGAACGCAAGAAACAGAGGGCTAAGGGCTCAGTGGTAGGGATGAGGGGTGAAATGGGACTGGACCAGAGTATTACAGTAAACTGGAAGTGTTGGTGCCCCTGTCCTGCTGCTCTCATGCGTTCATTTACGTTGACTGACAGTGGAGCAGAGGGGCTGTGACATCTCAGGGTTTCTTCCTCTGACCCCTGGCCACTGTCACCTTTGGCTTGCTAATCAGGGCTTGGACCTGAATTTCCTGTAAAGCTGCTTTGTGACAGCATCTATTGTGAAAAGCACTATAAAAATAATTTTCACTTGACCACTATTTACTAAAAAAAACTAAAATAATAGGCTAGTTCTCATTGTCATTAGTTAATGATTACTAAACACTTAAGTAACATTTCAATTAATGATTATAAACTACTTAACAAAATCTTAAATAATGTTAAGCTTATTACATAATAAGGCTTATTATTCAGTAATTACATGGACTACAAAGCAAACTGGCTGAGTTACTCTTAAGTTATAGGAATGTGTAATGAAACTTTGGGCCCACTGGTGGGTCCTGGCAATTTAAGGGGTTAATGATTAATGCCTATTACCCTGAAAAGTACATTTAATACATGTACTCTTACTGTAAAGTGCCACCACTTCAAAAATTCCAAAAATCATTCCAGACTCAGTTCATCAGGTAATAATTCTGACATTCATTATTTCATTACATCAGACTGTCCATTTATTCTGTTAATCTTGTGCTGCGTTTTGAGAATCTTCAATTGAATGTTCCACCGTAGATGTTGTTGTGTTTGTTGGAGACATTGGAATTTCTCCTGTGATCTTCATAGGCCTTGAAGAAACCGTCATCCATTTGGTTGTACATTCATTACAGCACATTAGTGAGTTTTTCACCTGTTTTCTAAACTCCTGAGAGATATAATAATAAACAAATGGGTCCAGGCAGCTGTTCAGGCTGCCCAGACCCAGAGCAACGACGTAGAAACCATAGAAATCATCTTGAAGCTCTGCACCCGGCAGAGAGTAATGCACCATCAGCATGACGTTACTGGGAGTGAAGCAGACCAGGAACATCACCAGCACAGTTACCATGAGGATTATAGCCTTCTTTTTCCTCTCATTGCTGCTGGCACCAATTATGGACCTCCTGAGGGAGAGAAAGGTCAGCAGGTATGACACAATACAGACCATACAGGGAACTACATATCCCACAGTGCCCATGGTTAAGAAATATCCAACAGGAAAGAGTGTTTGGTTAGAGCGAGTGACGTCGTGGCAGGTTATTATATTGAGATTGAGGATTTTAACGGTCTGGTCATACAGGTAGAGTGGTACAGTGAGGACCCAAACTACAATCCACACACAAACACATATACAGACTGTTACATGGGCATTCGGTTTCCGAGAAAATGGGTAGACAATCATCCAGTAGCGCTGGACACTGATACATGCTATGAAGAAAGTGGAGCAGTACATATTCCCATAGAAAAACCCCACTAGGACTTTACACAGTGGCTCCCCGAAGATCCAGTCATTGCCGTTGAAGTGGTAGGCGATCTTCAGTGGGAGCCACACAATGAAAAGCAGGTCAGCCAGTGCTAGATTGGCCATTAGGATGGACCCTGGATGCTTCTTCTTTGTCCTGAAAAGGAACACCCAGATGGCCATGGCGTTGGTGGGCAAGCCCACAATGAAGATGAAGATGTAAACGAGAGGGAGGAAGACTGTGGTCTGATTACTGTCAAGAGCGCTCACGGCAGTGTTGGTCACATTCACACCCAGTTCATCTTCCGCCACTAAACGATATCCACGAAGACCAATTACAGTGTAATTGTCTGTAGTGAAAGAAAGAAGATTGTGCTTTAGTGGCTGTGTTTTTGCAGAGGTTATGCAAAGCTGTGATTACATTTGATGTATGATGGTAACATATGAAATTCTTAGGTTATTAATTATAGCATTAAAGCGAATGTAGCTCTAATGTAATGGCTAGCACATTGACCATTAACATAATCTTTTTTTTACCCAAAGTGACTGCCTGCTGTGCTGATCTACGCTGAAGTTTGGTTCATTTGTGTAGTTTTGAGCATGTTGAGAGTTTTGAGGATGATTTGGGTGACTATTGACTTTTATTTTTTGTTGGCAACATTAGCCTCACATTTTTGCAAAATTAAATCATTAAGGTGTAAATAAAGTCGTTCAGAATGGTTTGGTGTGAAACTCTCTGTTCTAGAGAAACTGAGTCATGATTGTTCACAGTGGTGGTGATAGGAACCAGACGTCCACCTCTAAAAGCTCCCTCACAGAAAGTTACTACATGAAATGGTTATGAATTCACTGCCTGTTGTCTGAGACATTGGCCAGGGTTCCATTCAAATTTTTTGGAAATTCTATATGCATTTTTTTCACAATTTTGGCAAAAAAAAACCCAAATTAAGTCATGCTTCCATCCACTTCAGTTATGGGAATAAACTTTAGATGACAGGCTATTGTGATTAGGGATTGCATCAAAATAAACATAATAGAGAGATTTAATTTATCATTTTAAGGCTGTGTTGATTGAAGCTCAGAGATGCTGGGTAGGATGAGCAATCGCCCACCTAAGGATGGCCTAAATCTCTGTGCCACCCCGATGAATTATGAGACTTGAAAGTTGATGTGTCGTTGTTTATTCGAAAATAAATGCTTTTCCATTACTCTTTTTTTAGATTTTGACTTTAGTGATGTTCTAAATTTTCCTCCTAGTCCTGGTGTAAAACTCTTTTTGCGATATTTGGGTGTTTTTTTGGAATGTTGGCTTTTTCAATTCAGATTTTTTGCACATTTTCTTCAGAAATGTGAAAAGAATTCAGAAAAACAAATGAATGGAAAACCTGCTATTGTTTTTATAATAGTTTTGAGATTAATCATAAAACCTCCATTTCTATTAAAGTTGGGACACTTTGCAAAAGGGAATAAAAACAAGAATTTGTGATTTTGTAAAATCTCCTGCACCATTATTTCACTGACAAAAGTACAAAGAAAAGACTTCCAATGTTTCACTGACCAACTGAATTTATATTTTTTAAATGTTAACAAATTCAGAATTTGATGTCTAAAACATGCTCAAAAAAAGTTGGGACATGATCAATGATACCTTCACACATATGCAGGTCACCCATGCCATGACCACTGATGCCTCCCGAAACCACGACAGATGTTGGCTTTGGCATCTTTCGCTTATGTAAGTCTGGATTGTCCTTTTTGTCTTTGGCACGGAGAACTTGACATCCGTTTTTCCCAAAACAAGCTGAAACTTGAAGACTCATCTGACCACAGTGTACAATTCCACTATTTTTTGAACCATCTGAGATGAGCTTGGGCCCAGAGAACTTGGCAGTGTTTCTGCATAGAACTGATGCATGGCTTTCTCTTTGCATTACAGTTTCAAATTTCATTTCTTGATGCAGTTTAATGAGGTAATCCTGAGCCAATGTAAATGTATTTAATATAGTAGCATGACAGTTTCTCATTCAGTGCCGTCTGATGGCTTGCAGGTCATGCACATTTAACAGTAGTTTCTGGCCTTGACTTACATGGACCGAGATTTTCTGGACTCCTTGAATCTGTTCACAATATTATGTACAATAGATGAAGAAAGACCTAAATTATTTGCAATCTTGCTTTGAGAAATGCTCTTTTTGAAATCTTTGGCAGTTGTATTACAAAGTATGGCACAGGGTGGTGAGAAGTGACTTATCTTTGCTTGCAAAGACTGAGACTCTGAAGGTTCTTCCTTTTATAAGCCAATCATGATACACTCACCTCTTGAAAATTCAGCTGCTTACTGTGGAATGTTTCAAAACAGTGTTAGTTAAATATTCTTTTCAATATTCTTTCTTGAATATAAACTTTTCACTCTTATTTTGCTCCTGCTCCCACTATTTGGAGTGTGTTGCAGGCTTCAAATTCAAATTTGTTCATATTTACAAAATACAAGTTGATCAACCAAAACATTACAAGTCATTTTTTGTACTTTTGTCACTTAAATAAAGGCTTGAGGAAATTAACAAATCAGATCGTTGTTTTTGTGGCACTTTTCCAGAAATTTTGTTTGGGATTTTTCACAGTGGAGGGAACATATTATTTCAGATTTTCCACTAATTCACAATCATCAACATTCCATAAAAAACTCAGAAGATGTATAGGTTCACTGGTGGTTATGGCTATATTTGAAATCTGAGTCTCCACTATCAACCATTTCACACCAAACTACAACCCTATTTCCAAAAAAGTTGGGACACTGTGCAAAATGTAAATAAAAGCAAAGTGCAATTATGCGTAAATTATTTAAACCCAATATTTAATTGAAAATAGTACAAAGACAATATAGTAAATGTTGAAAATTGTATTTTTTTTTTTTTTGAAAAATATATGCCCATTTTGAATTTGATGCAAACAACACATTCCAAAAAAATTGGGTCAGAAGTAAAGATGAGGAGGGGTCCACCACTCTGTGAAAGACTGCACCATCAAATAGTGCAATTCAAGAATAACGTTTCTCACAGTAAACCAGCAAAGACATTTTGTTTTTCATCATCTACATAATATCATTAAAAGATTCAGAGAATCTGGAGAAATCTCTGTATGTAAGGGACAAGGCCAAAAACCTGCATATGGGGCATTAGTGTACATGGTATGGGAGATGTGCACATCTGTTAAGGCACCATTAATGCTGAATGATATATACATGTTTTGGCAACATATGCTGCCATCCAGATGACGTCTTTTTCAGGGAAGAATGCCAAACCACAATCTGCATGTATTACAACAGCATGGCTCTGCATTAAAAGAGTCCGGGTGGTAAACTGACCTGCCTGCAGTCCAAACCTGTCACCACTGAAAACATTTGGCACATTATGAGATGAAAAATATGACAAATGAGATCCTGAACTGCTGATCAGCTGAAATCCTGTATCAAACAAGAACAGGAAGACTTTTCACTTTCTAAACTACAGCAGTGTCTGCTCAGTTCCCAAACACTTACAGAGTGCTGTTAAAAGAAGAGGTGATGAAACACAGTGGTAAACAAGCCCCCCAACTTTTTTGGAACGTGTTGTTGGCATCAAATTCAAAATGAGCATATATTTTTCAAAAACCAATAACATTTCTCGGTTTCAACATTTAATATGTTGTCTTTGTAGTATTTACATTTAAAAATATGGTTTACATGATTTGCATATTATTGTAATCTATTTTAATTCACATTCTGCACAGCGTCCCAACTTTTTCGGAAATGGGGTTGTACCTTGAATGACAGGTTATGTCTCAGCCACTGTTTCATAGTCAGTGGGTGACTGACTTTGATGACGTCTATGTTCCCTTATCTATCAGCAGTGAAGAGAAAGCAACTTACCGATAGACATGTTGGTAAATTTCAATAAATCCAACAACACTGGAGTTTTTTTTTAAGTCCAAAGGTGTGGATGTATAAGAGTGAGGCTTTTGCTCTCTGCTACTGTTCAGTAAAGTCTAAAGGCTGATAGCATCTTTTCTTCTTCTTCACTGATTGTGGGAAGCTGCATGTGTTTGATATTTAGTTTGCTGGGAAACCCCGCCTTAATGACAGCAATTTTGGTTCCTTTAAACTGCTGAGACATTTCCTGAAATGCTGCATGGTCATTTCAGGATTCCTCAGATCTGACAACTTGTCCCACTCCAGCCTTGATCATCTCTATTTTATTCACTCAAATCAATCCTACAAATTACAGAGGCCCTGTAGTAACATCACTTGATGGACACACACATCTGTAGAGCCAAACTTGCCCAAATAGTACTTAAAACCCATGTGTCAAAAACAAGATGCTAAAAGAAAAGTCCCTCCTGGGGACTTTTAAATAGGTTTAACAGTTATCTGTAGATAATGTAACTTATTATTTTTAGAAAAAAGAAGTTGGTTTTTACTAAAATAATTTTTGAACTGTTTAAGTACTCAATGCCTATTTTGCTGTTGCAGTTGTGGAATATTTTGAAAATACAATGGCCAGTTCGAGTCATGACAAAATTTTAAGGGAAAATGAAATAAAAAACACATCTAGTCCATAGATTTGTTGAGAGTTTTAATATGGTCCTTTTAATGGTTAAGTTTAACACTCCTGATTTATAAGTGGAGTTATTAAGGAAGAAAACGAAAGGAACTGGCTAACTGCCACATGATTTTTTTTTGTTAATACAATGATCATTTAGTGATGTTATAGACAATCATACTATAACTTAATAAAGTTATTTATTTAGTTACTTGATGAAAAAGCAACATTGTTGCCAAAGCCACCATGTTGACAGTGTTGCGTTTGTCATTACAATTGGTATACATTATCAAGTTTTACTCCTGGGAGCATTGTTGTGCAGCATTCACAACCCTTCTGGGTCTCTTCCAGTTTCCTGTCATGCTGTTTGGAATCAGTGGTGCACCAGCAACCTTCCAACGTTCGATTGCCCGTATGCTGAAAAGATGTGCAGCATACCTGGATGACACCAGCTGGGATGACCACCTCAGGCACATGGAGTCTCTAAGTGGGGTTGGACAGAAAACAGACCACAAAGCACTAATGTGGATGGACACTAAGAAGGACCTGAATTCATGGATAACAAAGTGGTACCTTGGACTGCAACCATTCATCTTCCATCTCTGTCACAAGAGTACAACTCAGAATCTATTGGTGGACTTCCTTTCATGATTGCCCTGCTGGCAATCTAGGAGATGTAGTGGTTGATGTGACAGATGAACATTGGTTAGTCTTAATCTCCCTAGTTACATCATCCCACATATACATCCCTGTTGTGCCTATGTTTTAGTGCTCTCTACTCCCCATCAACCTCCTTATTTCATGCTCAGTGTCAGTTTAGTCTACTATTATTACTGGGTTTGCTAGTCAGAAGCAGATATTTCTTGCACATGTCAACATTGATACTTACCCATAGGTATCAGCATTTCAAATTTAAATAGGGGGAAAAGTCCTAAAGGTTTACCTGGCTTTTACAGACCCAGATGGAGTTGGGTTAGGCTGGACCATATGTTTTGTGGAAACAAACATCGCAATGTGTTGTTTGTTTCCTCATACTCTCCGGATAGTTTATACTGGTCAATTTTACCACCAGGGGGAGTGCTATAAAAGTAGTTAGTCTCTCGTTGGTCAGAGTGTGAGATGGTGATACTGCAGACCAGCCTTTTTTATAATTTGTGGTGGCATCAAATATTGAGTTTTAGAAGAAATTCTTTCTGAACTCTGTATCTTTTGTCAATAGTTTTATTGTTCATTGCTGAATTTATGCAACTTTTTACCAAACACTGATAAACACTGTTGCACTGAACATACTCTTATGGTGTGACATAGCTATTATAGCAAGGTGTGATATTCATGCAGTACAACCTCAATGATGTTCAATGAACATAATGTAGGTCTACCAGTGAAAATGTATTTGGTGTATTGACATGATACATTTTGTGCAGCCATGCTTCAAAAGTGTAAAAAAAGGAAAAAAAAAAAAACAAAGTGAATCAGATTCCATATTGTCAAACTCCAAGAGTAGATAATGAGCACACATTTTGTAGTGACTTGCCATATAGTCACAACAGTCACTCCACATTCTCACAAATGTTTCAGCTTAAAACAAAAAAAAAATGTACAAAAGTCAGAGTAACAGACGTAGACGTTGTGTCGATATGGGGTGGGATTGCCAAAATGTGCTTGACCAATTGTCATTACAATTGGTATATATTATCAAGTTTTACTCCTGGGAGCATTGTTGTGCAGCATTCACAACCCTTCTGGGTCTCTTCCAGTTTCCTGTCATGCTGTTTGGAATCAGTGGTGCACCAGCAACCTTCCAACGTTCGATTGCCCGTATGCTGAAAAGATGTGCAGCATACCTGGATGACACCAGCTGGGATGACCACCTCAGGCACATGGAGTCTCTGAGTGGGGTTGGACAGAAAACAGACCACAAAGCACTAATGTGGATGGACACTAAGAAGGACCTGAACTCATGGATAACAAAGTGGTACCTTGCACTGTAACCATTCATCTTCCATCTCTGTCACAAGAGTACAACTCAGAATCTATTGGTGGACTTCCTTTCATGATTGCCCCGCTGGCAATCTAGGAGATGTAGTGGTTGATGTGACAGATGAACATTGGTTAGTCTTAATCTCCCTAGTTACATCATCCCACATATACATCCCTGTTGTGCCTATGTTTTAGTGCTCTCTACTCCCCATCAACCTCCTTATTTCATGCTCAGTGTCAGTTTAGTCTACTATTATTACTGGGTTTGCTAGTCAGAAGCAGATATTTCTTGCACATTTCAACATTGATACTTACCCATAGGTATCAGCATTTCAAATTTAAATAGGGAGAAAAGTCCTAAAGGTTTACCTGGCTTTTACAGACCCAGATCAAGTTGGGTTAGGCTGGACCATATGTTTTGTGGAAACAAACATCGCAATGTGTTGTTTGTTTCCTCATACTCTCCGGATAGTTTATACTGGTCAATTTTACCACCAGGGGGAGTGCTATAAAAGTAGTTAGTCTCTCGTTGGTCAGAGTGTGAGATGGTGATACTGCAGACCAGCCTTTTTTATAATTTGTGGTGGCATCAAATATTGAGTTTTAGAAGAAATTCTTTCTGAACTCTGTATCTTTTGTCAATAGTTTTATTGTTCATTGCTGAATTTATGCAACTTTTTACCAAACACTGATAAACACTGTTGCACTGAACATACTCTTATGGTGTGACATAGCTATTATAGCAAGGTGTGATATTCATGCAGTACAACCTCAATGATGTTCAATGAACATAATGTAGGTCTACCAGTGAAAATGTATTTGGTATATTGACATGATACATTTTGTGCAGCCATGCTTCAAAAGTGTAAAAAAAGGACAAAGTGAATCAGATTCCATATTGTCAAACTCCAAGAGTAGATAATGAGCACACATTTTGTAGTGACTTGCCATATAGTCACAACAGTCACTCCACATTCTCACAAATGTTTCAGCTTAAAACAAAAAAAAAATGTACAAAAGTCAGAGTAACAGACGTAGACGTTGTGTCGATATGGGGTGGGATTGCCAAAATGTGCTTGACCAATTGTCATTACAATTGGTATATATTATCAAGTTTTACTCCTGGGAGCATTGTTGTGCAGCATTCACAACCCTTCTGGGTCTCTTCCAGTTTCCTGTCATGCTGTTTGGAATCAGTGGTGCACCAGCAACCTTCCAACGTTCGATTGCCCGTATGCTGAAAAGATGTGCAGCATACCTGGATGACACCAGCTGGGATGACCACCTCAGGCACATGGAGTCTCTGAGTGGGGTTGGACAGAAAACAGACCACAAAGCACTAATGTGGATGGACACTAAGAAGGACCTGAACTCATGGATAACAAAGTGGTACCTTGCACTGTAACCATTCATCTTCCATCTCTGTCACAAGAGTACAACTCAGAATCTATTGGTGGACTTCCTTTCATGATTGCCCCGCTGGCAATCTAGGAGATGTAGTGGTTGATGTGACAGATGAACATTGGTTAGTCTTAATCTCCCTAGTTACATCATCCCACATATACATCCCTGTTGTGCCTATGTTTTAGTGCTCTCTACTCCCCATCAACCTCCTTATTTCATGCTCAGTGTCAGTTTAGTCTACTATTATTACTGGGTTTGCTAGTCAGAAGCAGATATTTCTTGCACATTTCAACATTGATACTTACCCATAGGTATCAGTATTTCAAATTTAAATAGGGAGAAAAGTCCTAAAGGTTTACCTGGCTTTTACAGACCCAGATCAAGTTGGGTTAGGCTGGACCATATGTTTTGTGGAAACAAACATCGCAATGTGTTGTTTGTTTCCTCATACTCTCCGGATAGTTTATACTGGTCAATTTTACCACCAGGGGGAGTGCTATAAAAGTAGTTAGTCTCTCATTGGTCAGAGTGTGAGATGGTGATACTGCAGACCAGCCTTTTTTATAATTTGTGGTGGCATCAAATATTGAGTTTTAGAAGAAATTCTTTCTGAACTCTGTATCTTTTGTCAATAGTTTTATTGTTCATTGCTGAATTTATGCAACTTTTTACCAAACACTGATAAACACTGTTGCACTGAACATACTCTTATGGTGTGACATAGCTATTATAGCAAGGTGTGATATTCATGCAGTACAACCTCAATGATGTTCAATGAACATAATGTAGGTCTACCAGTGAAAATGTATTTGGTGTATTGACATGATACATTTTGTGCAACCATGCTTCAAAAGTGTAAAAAAAGGAAAAAAAATAATAAAGTGAATCAGATTCCATATTGTCAAAATCCAAGAGTAGATAATGAGCACACATTTTGTAGTGACTTGCCATATAGTCACAACAGTCACTCCACATTCTCACAAATGTTTCAGCTTAAAACAAAAAAAAAATGTACAAAAGTCAGAGTAACAGACGTAGACGTTGTGTCGATATGGGGTGGGATTGCCAAAATGTGCTCGACCAATGCTTAAAAATAGGATATATGTGAGTGTATTATGGACTTTCCACCTATTAAATGCTAGTTTCAGACCAGAATGCCCCATTAACCATAATTAAGCTGTGCATTTTCCTATTCGACTGCATTCAGAGAAGCTTTGATGGGTTCAGTCTGATTCTGCACTGTAAGTGTTGGTTGGATGTGGTGGGCTTTCTATGAATGTTTTCTCAGGTTTGTAGGAAACTCTTGTCTTGTCTCTCGTGTGCTGATTATGACACATCAGAGTATTCCTCATGTTTTCTCTAAACTCCTCCAAGATAAAGTAATACACAAATGGGTGCAGGCAGCTGTTCAGGCTGCCCAGACACAACGCAACAATGTAGTAACCGTAGACATCATTCTGAAGCCCTGCAGCCAGTTGAGAGTAATGCACCATCAGCATGATGTTACTGGGAGTGAAGCAGACCAGGAACATCACCACCAGAGTAACCATGAGGATTATAGCCTTCTTTGTCTTCTTATTATTGCTGGCATCTGTTGTAGATCCCTTGAGAGAGGGAAGGGTCAGCAGACATGCTACTATGCAGACCACACATGGAACTACATATCCCACAGTGCCCATAGTCAGGAAATATCCAACAGGGAAATGTGATTGACTGGGGTGAGTGATGTCGTGGCAGGTTATGTTGAGATTGTTGACTTTAACGGTCTGGTCATACAGGTAGAGCGGTACAGTGATGAGCCAGACTGCAATCCACACACAAACACATATGTAGACTGTTGAAGGGTTATTTGGTTTCTGAGAAAGTGGGTGCACTACTGTCCAGTAGCACAGGACACTGATGCATGCTATGAAGATAGTGGAGCAGTACATATTCCCATAGAAAAACCCCACTAGGACTTTACACAGTGGCTCCCCGAAGGTCCAGTTATTGCCGTTGAAGTGGTAGGCGATCTTCAGTGGGAGCCACACGATGAAGAGCAGGTCAGCCAGTGCTAGATTGGCCATTAAGATGGACACTGGATTCTTTTTCATCCTGAAAAGGAGCACCCAGAGGGCCATGGCGTTGGTGGGCAACCCCACAATGAAGATGATGATGTAAACAAGAGGGAGGAAGACTGTGGTCTGATTACTGTTCAGAACACTTGTGCCAGTGTTGGTCACACTCACACCATGTTCATTCTTATTCTCTATAGCAAAGCCAGCAAAATTAACTCCAGTGGAAATGTCTGCAGTGAGAGAAAGAAGACTGTAGTTTAGTTGAAGTCTGTGTTTTTGCACAGGTACTGCAAATCTGGGACTACATTTGATGTATGAAGATGAACATGCATGAATATAAGATATACTTAAGGTAATTAGTTGGAACACTACACTAAATATAACTCCAGTGTAATGGCCAATATTTTGACCTTTTAACATTACATTAAATATTTTTTTTAATATGAAGCAATATAAACATAGGTTTCCATGATCTGAGTAGAGCACCTTTCACAGAGCAGAGAGAGTCGTAATGCAGTACATGGCCTTATGTAATTTGTCATATAAACACTGAAGTCTCAATGCTATTTTAATCCTACTAATTTTAAAAGATTGAAAAAACAAAAATAAGCAAAAATAAACACCCCAACAATACAGAGTCCTAGAAATGAAATAACATTATTTATATATAACAGCATATGAGAAAATTTCCAAACAACCATCCTTATTAAATAAATACAGCTGTTTGTTTATAGATTTGAGCATGTTGAGAGAAGTTTTTGGGATGTGTTTACATAAAAGATTTGGGTGACTACTGACTTCTAGTGTTGTCACACTTCCCTCCGTTCCCACTGTCTCTGCCTCCTAGTCTCCGGACTCCATTACCCAGAACTCCACATGATCTTCCCCTCACATGACTCTACACTGGTCTGCCTCACCTGACTACTGATTACCCACACCTATTCCTTGTTCCATGTACTTGTTATTTAGTATATAAGCCTGGGTTTTAGCTTAGTCTCGTTGTGAAGTATTGTCTTTGTTTTCAGAGCCTTACTGAGCCTTCTAGTCTGTTTGATTGCTGTTTCATGTATGACCATTGCCTTGTTTGTTTATCGACCTTGCCTTTTGCCTTTTGCCCTTCCAGTATTGTTGTACTTTTTGGTTTGATCTTGCTTGTGATTTTTGGTTGTTGCTTTTTGGAACTTTGGTTACTGTTTTTGTGTTTTGACTTGGACCTTGACCTTGGACTGGCTGACCTTGATTTTGGATCCTCCCTTTCTTAATAAACCCATTTCACTTGTATGTCATCTGCAAGTGTCTGAATTCTGTCAGAATCTGACAACTGTTAGCAGCGTTAGCCTCATAGTTCCAGTTTATATGAAAAAAAAAATATGTAAGAGTCATTTTTCAAAATGCAGGACAGTGATTCTCCAGAGCCAGAAAGGACAACCAATGGTCTAGCCTACTGACCTCTACTTCAGAAGATAATGTCTGTAAAACATCTCAGTACAAAAGAAGTGTTATAGCCTATTAATAAACATTCAGGACATTCTCCCATTTTAGTCATTGTAGTGATTTTGTTTCTTTTATTTAAGCAATAAGAGCTTAAAAAGACTATTAAAAGAGTTTAATAGGGAATTCCATTGATTTTTTCCAAATTCCTGTATTATTAAACGTTTAAAACAAAGTTGTTCTAGAGAAACTTACAGAGTCAGAACTGTTCACAGTGGTGGTGATAGGAACCAGATGTCCACCTCTAAAAGCTCCCTCACAGAAAGTTACTACATGAAATGGTTTTGAATTCACTGTCTGATGTTTGTTTGTTGATGATGTTGTTTCTAGTTTTGACAAGATTTTGGTTTAAAAACATATTATTAATATCCATTCATAGTAGAGGGAAACATGAAGGATGCTCTGTGGCAAAATCGTCCCAAAGAAAAACTCAGATTTTCCACTATTTTCCATCATCAACATTCCATATAAACTCTGAAGACTCGTGTAGGTTCACTGGTGGTTTTGGATAGTAAATAAAATGTCTATATTTGAGTTGTAGTCATGGTGACACATTTCATCCACTCTTTCCTAATCATTCCTGACCTCTACTTTCACATATTTTTAGCAGAAGAAAAGAAAGTGACTTACCATCAGACATGTTGGTGATGGAATAGTAATATAAATCCAACAACACTGAAGTTTTCAAGGTTAAACCCAAAGGTGTGGATGTAGAAGAGTGAGACTTTCGCTCTCTGCTTCTGTTCAGTAAAGTCTGAAGGCTGATAGCATCTTTTCTTCATCTTCACTGATTCCAGGAATGTGCATGTGCATTCTTGTTCAGTTTGTGTATGCCATGCCCATTTCCAGAGAAGAGAGATTTCTGATGATGTGGGTTGTTGCCGTTAATCTGACGCAAGTAGGAGGAATTAGAGGGAAAATAACAAAAAGCCTGGGCTTTAAGGTTAATGGACAGTAATGTAGTAATGTAATCTCACAATTATCTCTAGCTGATTATGATTTGTTGTATTTGATCGATGTTACAGTTGTCGGCGTGGCCACATTGTTGATACACCACCAGTCAGCGTTGTAATGACAGCAGTGATTGTAGTGCCGTGTTAGTTAATAAAGCATTCTGACTGATAATATATAGCCATGGTGTGTTATGTGCTTCATGGCTATAGTAACAACAGCAACAATACTGTAAGCTTTTATACCATCCTGGCTGCAGAGGCGTAGCCAGAACCTTTTCTATTGGATGTTAGAACCAAGTTAGATCCAGTGATTTTATTGGGGTGGCAAACTGTTAACTGAAAAAAACCCTAAAATTATGAAAGAATGTTTGTTTGGGTAACTACAGCAACCTATAAATAGCACTGGAACCACCAACACATGTATGTACCCAGCTCTAAAATGCATTTAGATTATATGATAAATGATAGATGTTACTGTACCATAGTAAATGTTACGAGCTATTAATTTGATAGTTACTTCATCCCACCATCACATTACCAACCTTCATATAATGTAGCTCACAGAGCAGCACTGCAGAAGTGCACTGGGAAAATTATTAGTGTGGTCATAATTCACCCTTCTGAATAGAATTTCACTCTGATTTTACCCTGTTTTCCATTACGTCATGTGAATAATATACGTCTTGTTCCCTCTTGTAAAGTGACAAAACCAGCCAGAAGCTTGCGGTAAAAACAAGAAATGAGCCTTTATTTGTGAAGGGTTTGACAATATTCATAGGCAGTGATCATGAATGGGTCAAATCCAGCAAAAAGACCAGAAAGGACAAACATAACAAAAACAATCAGATCAAACAGGTCAAATAGATAAAAATGGCAAACAATGGCAGACAGAAAATGCTCAATAGCTCTGCAACAAGCAGCAATACCTCACAACTAACCTATTCTAAAGCTCGGACTGAACTAGGCTGGTCACATGACACATAGAACAGCATATGTTTTTAGTGAGCAGTGACTGGAGGATTGAGGAAGTTCAACAGTCACGTGATCTCCCATGGGATTCTGGGAAGTGGAATCCATGCGTGAGTCGGAGCTGGAGGGATGCGGGACACCTACTGTTTCTACTCTCTGATGAACATACAGTCTGCAGGCACAGTAACGTTACAGCAATCTACATAGAGCACAAAGTGTAAAAAATGCTGTACTACACTGATAAATGGACTTATTTAGGTGTTGAAAGCCAATGTTCTCTGCTTTCTTAAGCAAAACAAAGAAGAATAGCGTTAAGGTTTTGAGTTTACTCCCACGTGAGATGCGCTGATCAGTGAGTGCATCCTAAAGGATTAGGAACCACTCTGATTTCCATCTTCCACCTCCATAGTCTTCCTTATGATGATGGAGATCGAAGACGAGTGGCTGCAGTGGAAGGATTTTCACCGTAAAGCTGTTATCAAAAATTAGCAGAACTTTTCTATAGTGACTGCTTCATTGATGTCTGACTGTCTCTTTTTGTTTAACAGGGGTTTAACGATGCTGTCTGACGTCATGAGGGGAAAGAGGCTGAGGAGATGAGCCAGCCAAGGAGAAAATCTTCAGTAGAGAGAATAAACAGAAGAAACTTTCAGGATCTCACCATAATGCTGCCAAAGTCTGCTCTGAACAGTCTGTCCCAGCTAGACGTTACGAGAAGGAAGATTTCTGGAGTTTTGATCATTTTCTAACTAACGTCAAGCTAACACTGATTAGCTTAAGTCTTGTATCAAGGAAGAATGGGCAAAAAGTCCACTTGGAAAACTGCAGCAATGAATATCTTCAGTTACGAAATTAACAAGTGTAATCAAAAGAAAAGGTGATGTAAGACAGTTCGAATTTCGTTTACATTTACAAAATATACAATTAAATTGATCAGTGAAAATATTGGAAATCCTATGTTTAGACCTCAGAAGAAGAGCTGTTGATGCTCCTCAGGCTGTTTCTATTTTTTTTCTATATTTTTCTAAGAACTTTAGTCCACCAATGTTTAACATTTTATATAATGTGAGGCCTTTCCACCTATTAAATGCTAGTTTTAGGCCAAAATGCCTTTAATCAAAATTAAGCTTTGCATTTTCTTGCTCGACAGATGCATTTAGAGAATCTTTAATGGGTTCTTTTGGATTATACACTGTAGGCGTGGATGTCGATGTTGTGCTTGTTGGAGGGGTTGGGCTTTCTTTCAATGTTTTTACAGGTCTGAAAGAAACTCTTATCAATTTGCCTGTGTGCTCATTGTGACAGATCAGGGCATTTCTTACAAGTTTTCTAAACTCCTCCGAGATATAATAGTACACAAACGGGTCCAGGCAGCTGTTCAGGCTGCCCAGACACAGAGCAACCATGTAGAAACCATAGATATCGCTCTGATAAAACAGAGGTTCTTCTTCTTGGTCCAAAAACTGCTAGGAACAAACTGTCACTTTAACACTTAATTGTTTCTCAGTTTTATCAGGTACATCTGTGGAGAGCCTTAGCATAACGATCAATCCCAATCTGTGCTTTGATGCACATATAACTAATATTACTAGGGTAGCTTCCCTCCATCTGCAATATATTGCTAAATTAAGAAATGCACTGCCTCTACAGGATGCAGAAAAGCTAGTTCATGCATTTATTACCTCAAGGCTGGGTTACTGTAATGCTCTACTGTCTGGATGTTCCAGCAAAAGACTTTGCATAATCTTCCAGTCAGTTATTTGGTCATTAGTTTTCCCTGTTAGATAAAAGGTGCAGATCTGGGGTTCATGGTAAACTGGGAGTGTTGGTGCTGTCATCCCACTGCTCTCACGCACTCACTCAGTTTTGTTGATGATGGAGCAGAGGGGTGCTGACATCTCAGGGAGCCCTCATGTCTTTGTTTGTGTCTTACTAAGGTTTCTTCCTCTTGCTTTTAGAGAGTTTTTCCTGGCCGTGGCCACTTTTTGCTTGCTAATGGGGGCTTGG